AAGGTGCTGGCCAAGTTGGAGGAGAATGCTCCCGATCAAATTGAAGTCTTCAAGACCAACATGAATAAGGTAATGAAGGAAATCCTTGGCCGCTTCAAAGACTTGCAGTTCTACACTGGCGAATCAATGAACTGCGATGGTATGGTAGCCATGTGTGAATACCGTGAAATCGACGGCACCAGCACACCCGTGCTCATGTTCTTCAAGCATGGACTCGACGAAGAGAAGTGTTAAAAAAATAGATACCTAAAACGAAAATCACACCACATATACATTAATACTAATTATATTTTGTTTAGTAAATACCAATTAATTGCAATTGTAACGATTCATTTGTCATATTCGTTTTGTTCGGACACGAATTTATTATTGTCACTTGGAACTTGCTGCTACATATATATTTCGTCAAACTTTGAATACTATAATCCGTTCAACCGTAATGCTAATCATTATAGTAAAAAATTATGTATTTTAATTTTTATATAAAATGTGAAGAACATTCTCTCCATGTATGCTAATCAACTAGCTTGTTCTGCTACGCGAGTTATCAAATGCAGCGATGACAGCCTAGTAAATAATGAAAGAACTCTATTTGCAGCGTACATACTCGAGTACTTTTTATATATATAAATTTTTTGGTATTTGTCTTTTAATTTGTTTAAGTAAGAAAAAGCATCAAGCGAAAAAATGCATATTGCAAAAATAAAAAACGAAAAAAGAAAATACGCAAAAGAACTTTACGGACAAATTAAAGAAAAAACCATAAACAAAAAAAAAAAAATATATCAAAAACAAATAACTTAATGACGAGCACACCTAAAAGTTAAACATTCTAAAAATAGAATTATCAACACAACACATAAAAACACAACTATTCAAAATTACAAGATCAATACCGAAAATTTAGACGATTACACACTAATTAAAACAACCACACACGATAAAAATTGCAATGATACAGAGAAATTAAAAAGATTAACAAAAAACTTTCCACAATTTGTCAACTCTCAACTAACAACACTATGCACAGAATTCATAGAAACAGAACCAATTTCCTCTAATAATTTCTACAAACAAAAATTATACATGAAGGATGACACTCCTGTTTACATAAAAAATTATAGATTGCCTCAAACGCAAAAAGGAGAAATAAGCAAACAAGTAAATAAGTTAATCGAAGATGACATAATAGAACCCTCCATATCGGAATATAATAGCCCAATCTTATTAGTCCCTAAAAAATTACTCCCAGGTAAAACAGAAAAAAGATGGAGATTAGTGGTAGACTACAGACAGGTAAATAAAAAGCTAGCAGCAGACAAATTCCCACTTCCAAGAATTGACGATATTTTAGATCAACTTGGAAGAGCAAAATATTTTTCATGCCTAGACCTTATGTCAGGTTTTCATCAAATCGAATTACACCCCGACTCCAGGGATATAACCTCATTTACAGCCGATAATGGCACATATAGATTCAAAAGACTACCCTACGGATTAAAAGTAGCACCGAATTCATTCCAAAGAATGATGACCCTAGCATTTGCAGGCCTCAAGCCATCTCAAGCATTTCTCTACATGGATGATTTAGTTGTATTAGGTTGTTCTGAAAACCACATGCTAAAAAATTTAAGAGACGTATTCTCCACTTGCAGAAAATTCAACCTAAAATTACATCCAGATAAATGCCTATTTTTCAGCCAAGAAGTAACTTATTTAGGACATAAATGTACAAACAAGGGAATATTACCCGACCCGAGCAAATTTTAAACAGTTCAAAATTACCCAACACCAAAAACAGCGGATGAAGTTAAGAGATTCGTAGCTTTCTGCAACTATTACAGAAGATTCGTACCGCATTTCGCAGAACACTCACGAAAATTAACTAGGCTTTGCAAAAATAATGTTTCCTTCGAATGGACAGAAGAATGTCAAAAAGCTTTTGCCTATTTAAAGGAAGCATTAATTAGTCCAAAACTTTTGCAATACCCAGACTTCGTTAAAGAATTCTGCATAACAACAGACGCTAGTGGGTACGCTTGTGGGGCAGTCCTTAGCCAGGAACATAATGGCAAACAGTTACCAATTGCTTACGCTTCTAGGTCCTTCACCAAAGGTGAAACCAACAAAGCCACAATAGAAAAAGAATTGGCCGCAATCCATTGGGCCATAACCTTCTTCAGACCATATGTTTATGGCAGAAAATTTCTAGTTAAAACTGACCATCGTCCTTTAACATACCTATTCTCGATGAAGAGCCCTTCATCTAAGGTGACACGAGTAAGACTCGATTTAGAAGAGTACGATTTTGAAGTGGAGTATATAGCCGGAAAAGAAAATCATATTGCGGACGCATTATCCCGCATAACAATTTCAAACTTAAAAGATATGTCAGTGGAAGCAAGTAAAATATTAAAAATAACAACAAGATCAGCAGCGAAACAGACCAGCAGTAATGCTGAAAATAAAGAAAGTCACAAAGAGAACCCCAAAATTTACGAAGCGCTAAATAAATTTGAAGTAAAAAGACATGTCGAGCTCGTTTTCACTCCTCCGAAATTATATTTCAAAAAAGGAAAGAAAATTTGTAGCACTTTGGATACAAGCAACCTAATTGTTGAGGATAAGATTGACCTAGGACAATTCTTTACCAGGCTTGAAAGAGAAGCCGGCAATTTAGGACTTGTACAAATACAGTTGTCCTTAGGGGACAAATTGTTTAAAAGTAATTATACTGCAGTAGGCAAATTTATAGAAATGGGTAACAAAGTTCTCAAAAAGTTAACAATCGCTCTAACCCCAGAGGTTATATATGTGACAAATCCCGGGAAAATAAAAGAAATTCTGCACAAATATCATGACGATCCTATTAGTGGTGGCCACCCAGGAATAAATCGCATGACAGATAAAATCAAGCAGAAGTATAGCTGGCTGAATATGAAAAACGACATAAGAAAATACATAAAAAACTGCATCCACTGCAAGAAGAATAAGACCAATAAGCATATAAAAGAACCAATGACAATAACGGAGACACCTCCGAAGGCATTTGATATTGTACAAATCGATACAGTCGGACTATTACCGAAATCGATAAATGGAAACGAATATGCAGTTACCATCATATGTGACCTAACCAAATACTTGGTAGCGATCCCAGTCCCAAGCAGACACGCAACAACAGTCGCTAAAGCAGTGTTCGAAAATTTCATTTTGATTTATGGACGCATGAATACAATAATGACGGACATGGGCACAGAATACAAAAACAACTTATTCAAAGAACTGTGTAAACTGTTAAAAATTGAACATAAAACTTCAACACCGTATCATCATCAAACTTTGGGTACTGTAGAACGCAGTCACCGGACATTCAATGAATATATACGTTCATACATATCCAGTGACAAAGATGATTGGGATGAATACCTCAGGTATTTCACGTATTGTTACAATACGACGCCATCAACCACACATAAATATTGTCCTTTTGAATTAATATTTGCAAAAAACCCACCGAACTACGATTTTTTAAAAGAAAATAAAATCAGCCCATTGTACAATCACGAAGCTTATGACAAAGAAGTAAAATATAGACTTCAAATAGCACAGCAAAGAGCAAGGAAATTAGTCAAAGAGGCTAAAGAAAAACAAAAAACAAATTATGATAAAAGTAGCTATAGTAAGGAAATAAACATAGGAGATTTAGTATTAGTTAGAGAAGAGGCCTCCCATAAGTTAGAAAATAGATATAACGGATACTACAAAGTTAAAAATATCGATGAGAACAACAATTTTACTTTAATACCGCATAGCATAGGAAATAGTAATAAAAACAATAAAGAAATTATAATTCATAAGAATAGACTTAAAGCAATATAACTCCACTAGTAATAACAAAAAAAAAAAACAACCAAACAATAAACACTCATTTATCCATTTTAATAAACAGGCACACAAACCAAAAAAAAACTAAATACAACATATCATGTTCAAAATACAAAAAAAAGTCAGTACAATAAAGACACATGTGAAACAAATGTAAACAAAATAAAGTAAGAAAACCTTTTTCCAATAGCATAACAATAAACGATAAGCTAAGTAAGCCAAACATTTTATTACCTAATAATTAATTGTTACTGAATAAGTCATTGAAATAGAATACTC